CAGGCTGTTGTGCCCAAGAGGGTCCTAAAACAGCCCCAGGAAGGGCGTCTCGACAATCCGAGACTTCCGCCCCAAGAGGCCCCCAGGAGGCCCCAAGATGCCTCCAAGATGCTCCCCCGAGAGGCCCCAAGAGGCCCCCAGGAGGCCACCAAAACGCCCCCAAACGGCCCCCAAGAAACATCGAAACTGCCTCCACGAGGCCCCCGAGAGGCCTCGACGAGATCCCCACGAACATCTAAGAGGCCTCAGACCCACAACCCAGGCACGGGGGCGGGCTTGGCCGAAGGCCATCGGATATGTATATGCGGGTTCTGAGCGAGATGGCTAAACTCATAAGCATCATGTTCCGATAACTTCGGCAACTGCGCGCGGGCGGACATCCTGCAAAATGTGTGATGCAGAACTAGCATGTGCTTGATTCGCTGATGCTGAAATGTTCGCATAACGAATATTTTTTGGTATGACTTCGACATCTGAGAGCGTGTGGTCCTTGTGGCATGTTGTTTGCAAGGGGCTCCTGCAAAGTGATCCATTGAGATCATCGAATTTGCGCCTAATTTTTTCCCTGGCAGGGATGCGGGGGGGATGCCGATGTCGGGTTGGCTGGGATGGTCAGATTCACGCGTGACGTGAACGACGGGGCATCACCAGATGTAACTTGCAGTGCCCCAGGGGGGCTCGAGAAGTCTGGGCTCGGGAGGGGTGTGGACCTTCTCTGCTTTCAAGGAGAAGACTATGGGGAAACCAAAAAATACCGATACCGCCACCCCTTCGGACCTCTCCCGGGGTGGGTTTTTTCGACCAGAACTTCGAGGTGGCGACGAGGGCCTCCCAGGAGCCCCCAAAAAGGGGAAAACGGGCGAAGGGTAGAGGTATGCCCAGACATGCGATGTCCTGATTTTGTCAGGACGGCGTCCCTGGAAGTCCCGACCCCTTCCCCGGGACCGCGTTTTCGTCCCGAGTCGTTCTTTGACGGTCCCGGGGCCTGGCGCGGGCCCCCCGGAGCCGAAAATGGCCAAAAACCTCCCGTCCTGATGTTTGTTTAACGGCGCGAGCATGTCTGGGTGGGTGCCTTGTCCTCCTCTGAGGGCCCGCGCGGGAGCGCGCCGCTACGCGCGGCGCCGGCAGTGCGGCCCGCCCGCCCAAGGGGAAGGCCTCGCCCCGCCCGCCCAGGCGCGCCTGGGGCGCCCCGCCCGACCCCCCGACGTGGCGTGACTTTCTCTCTCGCGGCGTCGACCCCGGCAGCGCCGACCCCAACCGATGCTCCAACACCGTCAAACCGAATGCTCCAAGCAATCGTCCCCGGACCAGGTTTTAACAATCTTGGAGTAGTCCTCCTGCAGGGGGGCACGTCCGACGTACTCCTTCCCCTCCCGTGGCTCCTCGCGCGACGCGAAGGTGAGTACCGTTTAACCGATCCCCATCCCCAGCGGCGTGGCCCGATCTCCCCCCCAGGATGGGGATGTGGGTCGTTCCCTTCGGGTTTCGAGGGGTGTCCCCAGCTGGGGTGGTAATTTGGTGGGGGTCTCGAAGGCAGAACACACGGAAACACACCTCCCGTCGCGATGTGTCCACGACGCGAGGAGGTCTGGGGTCAGGCAAACCTGAAGGGGCCCTGGGACACACAAATTAATCGACACACATCACATGATTCCCCATATTTTCCGATATTTTCTGGGTCTTTGTCTTCCCCCCACTTCCCATATCTTCACATATTTTCTGGGGAATCGACGATTAATGGTGTCTGTGTGTTTCCCCCCCCGAAACCGACGGACCTGGACCCGCAAAAATGACGGCCGCGCCGCCCTCGCGCGAACCGAAAAGGGCCAATTCGCTAATCGACGTGTCAGGGTATAGGAGGTCTATCAACCTCCGAAAATCCCTCGCCGCACGCGCCAAACGCACGGGACGCCCGCGACGCGCTCCCGGCCGCCCACGCCAGTGGCAACAACCCGGGACGCTCCCCTGGGCAGGGGCGGGGCACTCCTGGCCCGCTCGGCGAGGAAGGGGCGATCGGGGGGGTCCTGGCGCCCCTTGCGTGTGGACCGTTGCACGAAGCAGGTCCAGAGACACACAAACAAATAGACACTCCTCCTCCTCCTCCTCCTCCTCCTCCTCCTCCTCGTCCTCCTCCTCCTCCTCTCCTCCCCCTTGTCCTCCTCCTCCTCCTCCTCGTCCCCCTCCTCCTCCTGCTCCTCCTCCTTTTCCTCCTCCTCCTCCTCCTCCTTCTGCCTCCTCCTCCTTTTCCTCTTTCTCCTCCTTCTGCCTCCACCGCCCGCCCCGTGTCCCGAGCCTGTGCCAAGGTCATCAACTCGTCGTTGTCGTTGCCGTCGTGGTCGTGGTCGTCGTCGTGGTCGTCGTCGTCCTTCTGGGTCGGCGGCATCAACCGTAAGGCCCTCACAATAAACACACGAATCCCAGGATTCCCCACATGTTCCACATTTCCTGGATGCTCGCCTCCCCCCCACTTCCCACATCTTTTCCCCTGTTTTCCTGGGAG